TATTATTATTATTATTATTATTATTATTATTATTATTATTATTATTATTATTATGTGCGGAAGGCTTCAGTTTGGGCTCAAGTATTTCATTAATGTATTTTTGGCCATTTATATTCCCATCAATCATACAAATTCTGTCCACACCTTTTGACGTCATACAACCCCAGATCATAACACTGACTGGGTGTTTCACAGTACATGTAATGCAATCAGGATGCAAATCTTCTCCAATTCTTCTCCTTATGTATTTTATGCCATCACTACCAAACAGAGAGATCTTGGTTTCATCACTCCAAATCACACTGTCCCATTGTTCCTCTGTCCAAGTAACATGGGTTTTAGTCCAGTTTAGTCTTTTCAACCTTTGTTTGAGAGATAAAACTGGCTTTTTTCGTGGAATTCTAGATTTTAGGCCAAATTCCTGCAGTCTGCGCCAAACAGTCCTTGCACTCAACTTCACATTGCATTGTGCCATTTCATCTTGTATACACCCAGATGATTTTCTTCTGTCACGTAGGCACAGTCTCTTAATTTTTCTATCATCACTTGCTGTTGTGCACCTTTTTCTGCCTTTACCAGTGTGGTTTTGTAGTGACTGAGTCTCCTTATACCTCTTCAAAAACTTAGAAATGCCACCTTTGGTTAAGTTTCCACCAATTTTTCTTCTAATTTCTTTATAACTGTAGCCTTGTTCACTTAATAATACTATTTTACATTGCTTTCTGGGCGACCAGTCAACTCTTTGCACCATTACTTTAATTTTATTACATTTTACAAGCTCACTAAATGAAAGAACACAAAAAAACCAACCAACTTGATAGCGATCACATAACACACTGACAAATGTCCTCCTCTCTGCTTCAATACGACATCAATAACTGAATCCTATTGTGATCTGATTGGATCATTGCCAAAACAAGATGATGCCTGATTGGCTCTCTAAACACTCATGCTCGTTGGCTACAATCACCTGAAGGAAAGCTATCTGATATCAACCTAAGCAATTTGTGCTTCCTTTTTCTGGTTATTTGGCTATAACCTTTCATAGAATACAGATAATTGAACAAACTTTGTTGCATTACATTCTTGATTAAATTATCTTTCCATTGATATATAATTTTATGGTACTACTCCCAAAACGGTGGTGTTATTAGCCATCAAACCTCAAATGTACACTTTTCCCAAAACGTTTCCACAATTTTGGCCACTACTGTAGGCTGGAAAGAGTTAATTCTAGTGATCATTTAAACTGTAATTCTAAACACATTATCTGCACTACACCACAGACCTATTGTTTATTTATTAAATATTTGCTGCTTCCGTATTTTTTATTCAAAATAGGTATCTCCAGGAAGTTGACCATTATAACAAAACAACGAAGAGAACAGAAATGAAAAAAAGGAATAAACAGTAAATATATGCACAGCCTAAGATTATTTTCATCAAGATACAAAGGAAGAAAATAATGGAGTCTGTCATATCAGAAAGATTGCCCCATACTGGGGCATCATCACAAGTTCACCAAGAAGAATGAGGTTACTTTAGAATAAATAAATTTAGTAATATGAAAGTAATCCACTTACAAGCAGAGGGGAGATTGCTCTGTGGTGCCTTAACACTTAATATAATCTCCCTCCCCCCCAAAACACACACACACACATTAAAAAAGATAAACGCATGCACTGAGGAATAAGGTTGTACTACTGAAAAAACAACCCTGAGAGTGATAAGATAACCTTTATTGTCATTTTTTTACTGAGGGCACAACGGCACCCATCAAAAATGAAATTTAGTTGCCCGCTCTCAAAGTGAAATACGTACATGACACGCCCTAAAAACATACTATATACAACATATGTATAGACCCACACCCCTACATATACATAACAAATAAATATTAAATACTGTCCATCTTGAATATATAATGGAAGGAGGAAGCTTGAGAGTTCACAAGGTTAATGCTACATGGAATGAAACTATGACTGAATCTGGATGTTCTGCTGCGGATACCATGAAACCTTCTCCCACAAGGTAACAAGGAAAACGGGTCATGAAGAGGATGTGTAGTGTCCCAGATAATCTTACTGACCCTGCTCAAGCAGCGCTTCTGTGCTATGTCCCGGATGGGAGGAAGGGGACTGCCAATGATCTTTTCGGCCATTCTCACCACTCTCTGCACCGCCTTCCTATCTGAAGCAGTGATGCTTCCAAACCAGATTGTGATGACAGGTGCTCTCGATCGTCCCCCTGTAGAAAGTGGTCAGGACAGGGGAAGGAAGATGTGCTTTTCTCATGGGACGCAGAAAATGCAGGCGCTGCTGTGCCCACTTTACCAGTTTCTCACTGTTGAGCGACCAAGCCAGCCTACTTGTTAGCTGCACACCCAGGAATTTGATGCTGGTAACCATCTCCACTGGTGAATCATTTATGCACAGAGATGTGTGGCTGTGCCTGCCTTTTCTGAAATCAACAATGATCTCTTTGCTTTTTCCGGTATTTAAAACTAGGCTATTTTCCTTACACCAGTTCATCAACCCTTCAACCTCCTTGTGGTAAGCTTCCACCTTGTCATCACAAATAAGGCCCACTACTGTTGTATCATCTGCAAACTTCACAATATGGTTGGTGGCAAACCTAGCACAACAGTCATGGGTCAACAGGGTGAACAGCAGCGGACTTAAGATGCAGCCGTGAGGAGAACCTGTGCTAAAGAAAATGGTATTAGAAGTATTTGTTCCAACTCGCACATATTGGGGCCTGTTGGTAAGAAAATCAACAATCCAGTTGCACAAAGGGGTGTTTAAGCCTAAGAGGCCCCGTTTGTCTACTAGATGCTGGGGAATGATTGTGTTAAACGCTGAACTGAAGTCAACAAACAACAAATGCACATGAGCATTTCTTTCCTCTAAGTGCTTCAAGCTCAGATGGAGAACGGAAGAAATAACATCCTCCGTAGAGCGATTTGGTCGGTAGGCAAATTGAAGGAGGTCAAATGCTGGCGGGAGGCTAGATAACAATAATGTCCTTTATCAGCTTATTTCATAATGGTGGATGTCAGTGCAACCGGACGGTAATCATTAAGTCCTGTAATTGTGGACTTTTTTAGTACTGGCAAGATGATGGCTGTCTTAAAACACGATGGGACCACTGCCTGCTGCAATGAGAGATTGAAAATATCTGTGAGAACACAAGCCAGCTCCTCTGCGCATTCCTTGAGCACACGTCCAGGAATGTTATCTGGGCCTGCTGCTTTCCGAATGTTAACTTTCTGCAGTGTTTTCCGGACAGAGGTTACATCAAAACTTAGCACTTGCTTGTCAGGATGGGGCACAGCTTTCCTAGCAGGAGTATTATTTGATGCCTCAAATCTACCAAAAAAATGCATTCAGTTTGTTTAGGAAGTCTGTGTCCTCCTTGCATCTCGATGGAGTCACCTTGTAATCCATGATGGCCTGGATCCCTTGCCACATTCGCCCGGTGTTTGTTGGGTCCTGAAAAACGTTCTGAATTTTCTGGCAATGGGCTTGCTTTGCACCTTTTATGGCACTTTTCAGATTTGCTCTGGCTGCTCTAAGTGCCAGCATGTCACCAGATTTAAAAGCCACATTCCGTGCTTTCAGCATCCTGCAGACCTCATAAGTCAATCACGGTTTTTCATTCGCCCTCACAACAATGCTTTTCAGGACACAGACATCTTCTATGCACTTTTGGATATATGCAGACACCGTGGTGGCACTCCTAGTTTAGTCATGGTACTCCTGCCTTGCCTCATACCTATTTTCACCCAAGTGAACAATGTACATGAGGGAGCCCTTACTTTTTTGCAGCAAAGAAGAGTTTTATGACACTTTAAGTATACATTATCAATTCACAAAAGTATGCACAATGATACAAGTGTTACTTTTCAAGGAGTCACAACGTTTTTTCATTAAGCAAGAATGATTTAGAAAGGGAGGGCTCTGCGCACACACTTTGCCTAGTTAGGAGGTCACTCCACATGGAATTCTACACACGTGTGGCAGGGAATAATGGCACCTGAACTTCAAAAAGAAAAACACACCACGCAGAAGGCACTTTTCAGGGATTCAATATAGTAGTCCTAATCACATAAGGTGTGCTGCTGCAAAAGATGCAATAAAGGGGAATGCTGCTCTGAAGTTCAATCAGAATAGAGCTGAAAGGGACCTTGAAGGTCTTCTAGTCCAACCTCCTGCTCAAGCAGGAGACCCTATACCGGTACCATTTCAGACAAGTTGACCCCCTATTTAAAATTTTAGAGATCTGCTCTAGGAGGAAGCTAGGCTGCAAAGGTTTTACAACTGATCCCGGCACCGGAGTAGGGAAGGAAACGGGAGCCCACATAACACAGGGCAACTCAGACCAAGCGTACATAATACAGGTGACTCAATCCCAAGCATCAATGATATAAACGTGATCAAATACCGTATGAACTGACGTCACCAGGAAGCCCCACCTTCCCCCCCCTCGCTGGCCTCGTGTAAGCCCCTCCGCGGGGAGTCGCAAAGAGCGGTGGGCCTGGCGCCTGCGCGTGGGATGGGTCGTGCGTGCCGCGGCCAGGCTACGGGCCGGGCGCGTGGGGAAAGGGGGCGGCGCTCCTGGGGTGTCGGGGAAGGGGTGGTGAGGCTGCTGCTGGGCTGAGTGGGCGGGGTGCGGCGGCGGTGGTGGCAGCGGCGGCGGCTGCGCGTTGCCTGGTACGTCAGCGGCAGGATGGCTGTTGCTGCCGAAGTGGCTGTAGCGGCAGCAGCAACAGCAGCAGCAGCCTCCGGTGGCGGCTTCGCGGCCCCGGCGGTGGCTGTGGGGCGAGAGGTGGCGTAAAATGGCGTCGCTGCGGGAAGGGGGCAGGTATGGCGTGTCCTGCGGCAGAGTCACGCAGGACAATATCACGGTGCTGCATGTCAAACTGACCGAGACCGCCTTTCGAGCACTGGAGAACTACCAGGGGAGCAAGGTGAGGAGAGCCCCGGTTAACCTGGTCTTAACCACCGAAGAAAGCGACGCTTCGCCGGAGTAAGGGGTCGGTGACCCTCGGGGATTTCCCTGGAGTTCTAGAGCAGCGCGGAGAGCGAGGACCCTGTTTAAAAAATAGAGAACTAACTGATGGGAAGCGGCAGTAACCTTCCTACCGAGGCAAAGGCTTGCCTCCTCGGATGGGGCTGGAGGAAAAAAAGAGGGTTGAGGGAAAGCAACTGCGGGAGCCAATTTCGGTTCTGTTGAAGAGAAGGGTTCCCTTCGGTTTCCTTTTACGGCTGCCCGACACGTCCAAAGCCTTAACTTTTCCTAAAGTCTTGTTTCCCTGTTCTTCTAGTTTCCCTGTTTTAAAAAGAAAACTTTTGCGGGATACAAAGTTTCCCCAGCCGCAGCTGCTTTCAGGCCGAAAGACATGAGGGTGACGCTGCCTGGGGTTGATGCCATCTTTAAAAAATGGCATTTACCCAAGAAAGTCGCCTTTCTGGGTGTCGGTGCCAGCTTGTACCTCCGGAGCTGGCCGTGACCAGTGCCGGCCGTTCCCAGATGAAACAGATTCTGCTGAGCTGTCATTTATTTATGGGCTTTGCTCTTCTTTTCTCTTTGGCCTGTCGCTGCCATTAAATGCGTGTAGGAGAAAATAGGTTGTGGGTACCTCTGGGGACTCGATTTTCTTTTTTTTTCTGAAGCCTGTTCTGTGGCTGAGTTTTTAAGTGACAGTTGTAACACTGACATTTATTGCACATCGTTACAACGCTGTCAGAAATATTAAATCTTACTGCCATCCAGACTCCCTTCCCCCATAGGCTTTTTTCTTGCTCTTTTCCCATCCCCATTAGCAGCTGTGAAAAACTGAAATGGGGCCAAATTGTGCCTCTCATTTGAAGTGGCATTAACAGCTATTCAAATTTTCAGTGCAATATATTTAATTTGAAAAAAGATTACATATTAAGATGCATTAGCTTCATATATGAGTGTCTGGGGACACTTAAAAAAAAATGGAGATGAGATCAACAAAAAGTGACCTGTAGGAACTGTGTTAATCTCCTTTTGCAGAAGTAGGAGGCAGGAGAGCTGCTGATCTCTTTTATTATCTTACTGCAGCTTTCCAGTGGAAACTTGAGCCCTCATTTGTGTTTGTTCAAAGCACATTAGAGTTCCTGTGTGCTACCCTGTGCCCAGTAAGGACTAAGCTCTAATTAACTGGTATTTTAACATGGAATTTCAAATTAAATTTGTTTCCCTTTCTTTTTGCCTAAGTTCCTTTTGTTACTGGCTTTTTTTGAGTGTTCAGAGAAATCTTGAGGGATTGTTGAATTGCAGAGATTCTAAAAAGAAGAAAAGGTGCTGATCAAAGTTTCTTCTTTTATTTTTAAATACGGTACTCCAGTCATTTTGTAGAGCCAGCAGGCTTCTCCCAAAAGGGCTTTCCCTTTAAACCTTCTAAGAGCAATAGATAAGCTGAGAACATAACTAAACCAGACAGAATTTAAATAACAGGTTCTTGACAGATGGCAGACTATTCTCCCATTCTCCGCCCTGTTTTCTCCTAGCTGTTCTTCTTGCAGAAAGATGACTCAGACATGGTTTTCTGAGAATTGACCTCTAAATTGTGCCTTTTCGTATGACTAATAGTTGTTTTTCATAATAAGCAGGGTAAATCTAAAATAGTGAACAAAATAAGCCTCCTTCAATGAATCTGACTCTTCTGTAGTTGTGTGACTCGGTCAACTTTCTTTCCTCATTCAGCAAACTATAGCCACTCTGGGGTATATATGGAATAATTACTTAGTACATCAAGCTCTTTCCCTTGTTAAGCATGAGTGGAAATTATTACTTCTGCCAAATAATCCATACAAATCAACTTCAGATTGGAGCTTTAGCTATAGCATATGTTTGTTGAAGAATTGAAACTGCAGTTATTCTTATTTTACCATGAAGCTTGTATTCAAGAACAATGCAGTTTCAGAAAATTCTGCTTGTTGTTAATGTAGCCACCACATTTCCTTCTCTTTATTTTTTTGGAACTGGAGCAGTTTAGCTAGATTTCTAAATCAAATATTTAAAGAAGAAAATTGATCCTTAAAGTTTACACCATTGCAGATATTTTTAGTGTCTTCTATTTCACTTAAATGAAATGTATAACATTAAAAGAGTTTTCTCCCTCTGTCTTAGAAAAAAGCGTTAATATTTGTAACAGGAAAATCTAATCTTACTGTATTGCGTACGTGGTTAGCTTTAAAATTACTATCACTTCATTTCAGACTGAAAATGATTATCTTCAAATTCCTTTTAACATTTCTATAATCAAAGATATTCTGCATTGTCATACACTTGGAGTTATTTTTTGAAGCAGTTTATGTTATAGAAAATAAAACATTCAGAAAAACTTTTAATATAAAATACCAAATCTACATAAAGATAAAAATTAAATTTTAAACAATATTTTTGAGTCCCATATACAACTTTGTTCTAAGATATATTGTTTTTCTGTTAAGCAATCCAGTTTTAATTGTTAAAAATATATCCTAAAGCAGGAAAATAATTTATTTTATCTGAAGCAGTGGCATGGGTTCCACGTTCATGACTACATAAAATGTGTGCTAATCTCAGCTTTGTTATACGGAAAAATAATTACATTTGCCATGTACAATTCAAATGATTAATTTAAAAAACTAAGGATGATAGGGAATCTGAAGTATTAGAAATTATACTAGGTATACAATCTTTTATACATGGGGAACAAACTTAATGATATTTCAATCTAGAACATATTTCTGAGAATGCATATATAAATCTATATTGTAAATACAATATTTATTTCTAATTATATAAACAGATTCCTTAACTAGTTGAAAAACATAAAATGATCCATCTAATTTTGGCTACCTGTCTTATGAAATGGTATTAAAAACTGAATTCTTCAAGATGTGATTTTCAAAGAACTTGTGATAGAAAGGAACTTGCACATTATTTAAACAGTTATCTATAGAGTTATTAACTAGCTGTTGATAGCTTAAAAATGACCAATAGTCAGATTTAGCCTTGCTTATATTGAAAAGGTAATCTACATTAGCTTTTCCATTGACTGAATTAATTCAGCAGCAAAATTTTCCGAAATCAATAGAATAGGAAGAAATAATTCCAATAATTAAATGTAGGAATAAATATGAACTAATTTTATTTGTTGAATTGCATTTATTATGGCCATCCATTCTAAAAGAATCTTAATTTAATACCATTGTAACCATACATAATACGTATAGCCAGACTCCAATAAATAATTATTTAAAACAATGTAAAAGCTTAACATAAATTCCTTAGTTTAGTAGTCCTTTGTGCCTGTTATTAATATGGCATGTTATACATTAAAGAGATTTAGATGTTAACTGAAAGGGTAATGTTCAAAATAAATACAGCCACCTTTAATATACTTTATAATATGTTATAGCATAAACAACATAGAAACTGCAACTTTCACATTATTATTTCATAGTAGCTATGAAATGCATATGTCATTTAAAGAAACTGTCAAATTTTTAAGCTATATTGAAATGTCCTCTCTGCAATGAGTAATAAAATAAACTAATACTAATCCATGACAGTCTGTCTTATATTTGATTTTTTCCTCAATTAAAAAAAACGTTTTAATTTCATTTAAATATAATGATGAGAGTACCTCTGTGACCCACTCTTTTTCTGTTGTTAATCTGTGATCAGTCTTGCTATATTAGTATCTAAGCATACATTAACACTATTCTAATTAGCACTATTCTAAATGTAATCATTCTCTTGAAGATAAGCCTCAAAATAAATACTGTCAAAATTTGATCAATGTCAAGGCTTTTTATCTTTCTTGTCTGATAGTTGTGGTCAATACAAAAATACATATCTGATTTTTTTACCTTTTATCCTGGCACTGATTAAATTTCTACGTGGATTTTGGGAACCAATTTCAGAATTCTGTTTTTGAGCTAAGATCCCTAAGTAGTTACAGACCAAGCTATCTAAAGAATCACTTACATGTGTAGATCTCTGTACTCGGGTATACAGAACTGTTTTAAATGTCATAGGTGTAAATGTGATAGGCTTATTGGGGGAAGGGAATTACTTCCTTCCACTGACTATATGTGGGATCAATATCCTGCATTTTAAAATAAATGGTGAAATTGTCATTAAAGACAATGTGCACGTCTTCCAACTTTTCTGATTTGCCAGTGTAGGATTAGCTATTCACTTACTGTGCATCCATTCTTTTATCTGCAACCCTCTATTAATGTTGCTAGCTATGGCAGGGACAAATCTGTGTTTACTTTTGATTTTAAGTTTGTATGCACGTTGCTTCTCTTATCACTAGCTAAGGTAACTTTAGTCACTCTGCTCAATTTCCACATATGGCCATGATCATTATGCCAGAGCTAGTCAGAACACAGAAGCTTCCAAGGAACAGGGCAGGTGTTCAATTGCCCCTAGTCAATCTGGCTGAGCCGTAGAAATTAAGGAAAATTGAAGGGAAACATAAAGGCCCACAAGAGGGGGAAGAGAAGGAATTATTCCCCCTCCCCAGATGAATTATAATACCTGTATTCCCAGGTTTTTTTTTAAATTAATCTCAAGCTCTTCTGGAAGCCACTTTAGCAGACAAAATGTATAATCCTTTACAATAGAAAAGCCTGCTCTATTAATGATTTGACATATACAATCAGAAGAAGGAAGTTCATAGTTAACTTTTTTAAAAACTTCCCTTGTTGAAATGGTTTGCTGCCTGTGATTCAGAAATCTGGATTTTTGTTTATTAAATAGATTTATATCAATTTGTGATTAAGCATTAAATTTTCTGTCTAACAATAAAATCTAGAAATAAAGGTAAGAATCTATTATTTATCTCATATTCTTAAAATCATTACTTTCTGAGTTTCTATGGATTTTATAAAAGTATCCTGCAAATAGATCCAAATAGGTTAGCATTATTTTACATACATTGTCAAAAGCTGGATGATGCATGAGAAAATGAGTTACGGCAGTTCTGCACATAATCTACTGCAATCTACTGCAGTGCTGTTGTCCAGTTTCCTAGTGTTTATGTGATGGAATGTAATCCAGAATTGCAGGAGGGAGGGGCTCTTTCCCAGTTTGGAATTTCTGGAAAGCAGGAAAAGGGCAAAGATGGCAAACCCCCCCTTCCCCCGGGAGTTCACAGAATGTATCTAATAGTTATTGCAGATAGTTGCTCTAGTGTGGCAAGAGTTTGTTAATAGCTGAACATTAATAAAGAACTACTCAGAAGTAACTCTACATGTCATTCTTGGTTCTTTGGGCCTGATAGCTTGGGTATATACATCTCTATCTGCGTTTTTAGTTAGTTCTCTTCAATCAATTCCAATTCTCTTTGCTTAAAGTAACAGCGCAATTTTTCAGTTCTTGAGTTGTTTGGACATGTCCATGTACCTTGGTTGGCAAAAATACAGAATTTGTTTGCCAATGCTTTCTTGCCAAGTTTTTTTTCAACTTCCCACTCTAACCTGCATCCTTAGTATTTCCTGATAGCTTCCTGTTCAAATATGAATCAGGCCTGACTGAACAGAATTTATTTGGTCAAGAGTAGCCAAAGGCAGCTACTTGTTCCTATCAGCCTGGATTTCTTTTATTCTGCAATATTTTTAGAGTGGTTTAAAACAGCACAATAACTTTAAATATAATAATGAATTGACTGAGCAAAAGTGTGTTTGAAAGCTTTGCTTTTCAAAATTAGTCTGATTGAAATATCCCTCTGTAAAGGGTTAAAAAGTCCCTTCTTAAAGAGTTAAAAAAACTGCTTTGAAATACCGGTAGTTACTTCAAAAACTGACTGTCAGCACATGGGTGTCCATGGACAGACAACAGTTTTGTTGATGCACTGTACAAACTTAGCACTAACTGTAAAAAGGCTATTTGTATTGAGATTGGAGGCAGTATGCTCTAAATACAGTTCAAGGGGAACAATAACAGGAGCTAGATATTTCTCATCTGATTTTTAAAAAGCTACATTTTATGGGCTTTTGCCTGATCTAGCAAACCAGTTATGTTCTTAATATCCACAGGACTGAATTGTTAATTTATTAAAATTTGTTGTATAAGCAGCATTTCTTTTTTACATTCAGATTAAAATTGAGTAGAATGAGATTATGTTATAGGTAATACAGGACCTCGTTTGGAGCTGCAGAAATGAGGCTCATAGCTGTGTGGAGGCTGTGTGCAGTCACAGGTTGCCCACCCTTGTTTTGGTATTCCAATTCAACTCTCTTTACTGACAGAACTGCAAAAAGAAGTTGGAAGGATACAAATACATTTTATGAAGTTTGTTTTCTATGATAAAGTAGTTAAAGAGTTTTAATAATTTGTTGTAATTGAAAACCAAACCTACATTTTCTAGTGTTGCTCTTGAAGCCAAGCCAGATGAGAACACATTTTGGCTCATATATTCAGCACTAAACTATGATTTAGCATTTTATATATATATATAAAGTCAACCTTTAATAATAAAGCCCCTACTATCCATTGTTTATCTCTGTCAGTGGTTAACGTTGCTTGAGTTAAATTCTAGAAATTGGCCTTTTTGTGGGAAAGAGGTAGATAGCTTATAGGTTTGAACAGTGCTTTTTTTGAGGGGAAAAAAAAGGTGCCGGAACTCACACACATCATACAACCCGCCTTGCCTACCCTATAAGGCAGTGATGGCGAACCTTTTAGAGACTGAGTGCCCAAACTGCAACCCAAAACCCACTTATGCATCGTCAAGTGCCGGGTGGGCGTGGCCAATTGGGTGGGCGTGGCTGCGGTGGTAATGGCAGACTGGGTGGGACTAAAAAGTTCAATCAATTCCAACTTTGCAAGATCTTTTTTTTCCCCGCGAGAAGTTGAAATTGATTGAAACTTTTTTTTTTTGCACACGGCGGCGGAGGCCTAAAGCGAAAAGGTTTTATAAAACCCAGCTGAAGGCCTAGGACTGGGGCAAACGGCGCACGTGCCCACAGAGAGGGCTCTGAGTGCCGCCTCTGGCACCCGTGCCATAGGTTCGCCACCACTGCTATAAGGTTTACCTTTGTAGTTGAAAAAAAAAACCCTTCGATTTTTAGTGTATCTAAAAGACTAGGATTTTATTCAAGGTAAGTTAATACTATTAATGTTACCATGCACTGTGTGGCTTTAAATTACAAGAAGGCATTTTATTAATCTTTTGGGACATTTACCATGTCAGCTTTCTATGTGGAATGAAATTGGCCCAATAAAACAAAATTTGGTTGCTTGTAAAAGATTGAATTATTTTTAAGAAGTTGTCAAACAAGGTGGGAAAATTTACATTTGGAGTTTAATATGGATATTGACTTGAAACAAATTAAAGTTGAAACTTTGTCAGTGAACAGATTACTTTTAATTTACCTTTAAGTTAAACCCAATTTAATAAATAGATCTGATTAAACCTCATACTGTAGGTCTACCTTTACATCTGACCAATACATAATTAATATATATTATTAATGCCTCCAAATCACAAGACATTGGCTTTATTCTTATTCTTCCCCTCTACAGTTTGAATATAAAGTATAAAAGACTAAAAATAGATTTCCGGTGACATCCCAGCCTTTGAACTACCCAAGGAACTGAAACAGCAAAGTTTCGCTGTTGGGCAAGCTTCCACGCCAGCCGCCTTTCTTTCCTCTCGCTTCGCCTCTTTTTAACCTCACACACCACCTTCTGTAAAGGAAGGCAAAAGGCTCACTCACCCTCTCGTGAAAGATGGCCTCCATGTTTATGTGTCTCCCACCGCCACCATCGGCTTCCACACCACATGGTCTGACCCAGCCAATCAAGCCACGTTCTGGCTGTGGTGGTCCGGCACCTCATGGCTCCTCCTAGAGGAGGCAGACAGCACTGGAGGGAACCCCACTCACACCGTATTGCCAGCAGGGCATTTTCAAAAACAAGGATAAGAAGGAAAACAATAGGAAAAGAACTCTGGAAAATCCATCGAAAAAAGGTGCTGGAACTGCGTTCTGACAAAAAAAGTCCTGGGTTTGAAGCTAAGGAGAGGGGAGATTACTTTTTAAAGTAAACTTCTTATAATTGATTTTTCTAATACTGTAAATTAATTTTAACAATACCAGAATATAAAATATTTCATTTTTTACAGCTATTGAATTATTTATTGATTGGTTTTTCTGAAATGAATTGATTGAGGTGCTATGGAGTATTTTTTTAAAAATAAATAACAATTAGTTTTTGTTATTAGGGCTATTTAAATTCTTCAAAAGAGGTGTTCAGAATATATAGCTATTTTAATTATTTTAAATGTTAAGGAAGTTGGTTTTTTCCCCAAGCTCATACAGCTAACATTTTGCCTAGCAAAGCAACTACCAATGGGGAGACAGAGAGGAATAGCTTCTAAAACTGCTGTAGGAGTCAGGAAAAAGATGTAGCTGTGTTAACATTTTGAGAAATGTGCTTTGTATACCTTCCCAAGTGTTTCTAACATCTCTTTTGAAAGTTTTGCATTGCCATAATTGTCATCAAAACCCAATTAAAATAAGTATTTTTTTTCTTCAATATATTTCATTAATATGAAAGGCAGCATATAAATTATGTATGCCGCCCAAAGTCACTTATTGAGAAGGGTGGCTATAGAAATCAAATATTCAAAAACAATTTTGAACAGAGATATAGTATGTAGAAATAATTTACTGGTTTATAGTCTGAGCTTTGTGTTAACAAAAATTATGGTTCATGAGGGACAAATAGATTCCTTAATAATTACCGGTAGATATTGCTGTTTTATCATTTTTTTGTATTGAGTGAAAAGCATGACTTTAGTATTTTCAAAGCCATTCCTTCTGTTTTATTATATTCATTATTGGCTTCCTTTTACCACAATAGACACTGTATATTCAGTTAGGTAATTAGAGAGATAAAGAGAGTGCTCTATAACAGTTTAACAAGCCATTTACTATTTAATATTTTAAATGCTATTCATTGTGTGAGCATTCTAAAACTAATAATATATTATGTGTATAGCAACTATTCAAATAAATCCCGGATTAGTTAATATTAATAGCAAATTAAGTTAAAATTAATAGCTTGTCTTTTACATTCAAATCAAATGAATTAAATTTTATTTGTTTTGCATCAGTACAGTATTTCTATTTTAACTAGAAATACAGATAATGTTATTTCAGAAATTCCATATCTAAATTCTATAATATTAGAAATTAGTATATAATTTCTTACGGTACCTCTTGACATACTTCTGTTAAGTATGCATTACTTACATAATCCTTTATAATGTTTTGCTAAAATATTTTTTACTTTTTAAGTTTTGTAATGATCTTACTTTTTTTCCTTTAGAATGTAATTCCTTCTCGACCTTCAATACAGTTTCGAGGACTTCAAGGGGTATGTATTTTTTATTTTAAAAACCTTATCTAGCTACAGTTAAAGCAGATTATATTAGGCAATAAGCTACATCTGTTTTAAATTACGTATTGAATATGTTATGTATAAACACTGTATATTTGAAAATATTTCCTGTTTTATAATCTTACTGTAATCAAATGATAAGTACAGCATTTGATTTATTCATTTATTAGATTTATGTCTTAATTTTGTCAGACAGTAAACATAATGCCTCCTTCTCCCATTTACCTCCAAGAACCCTATAAGGTGGGTTCAGTTAAGAGTGTGTGACCCACCTAAAGTTAGACTAATACTCAAGAGACACCTGACTAATTTATTTATTCAACTGGTTCATGACAATTTCTTGTTCTTTTTATTTTGACAATTTTTAATTGATTGTGAATGAAAATAGTTTTGTAAGTTTGAAAATTGGGAGGCATAATGGCATTGAAAAAATTAAAATTAGTCAAAAGTCCTGAAAGTTTTGCTATGTAATTATTTCTGACAATTGCTGGATATATCATTTAATATTGGCTTTTTACTATTTACTATTTACACCGGCTTATGCTACTTCTTTAAAGTATTTTTTTTAATAATATATCAGTTGAAATATTGATCAGTTGGACTGTGAAAAAAACTGCCTGTCATGTTTCTCATGCTATTATCCATATGAACATTTTTATCAGCCATATTACTTATTTTTTGACAAATGTTTAAATATTTAGGAGAAAGAGGTCAGGCATTAAATTAGAATCAACATGGACTCTAGTTACGTATGTAACCATATTCTTCTTGCATTTATTTTTAATATAATATTGGCAGGTTTTTTTCTACACTTTTTCCTCTCTGCCTAATATGAACTGAAGTAATACTTAACATAGAAGATAGACTGTGACCAAAATTATACGAGTCGCATGTAATAAGATGTTATAAAATGTTATAAAATAATAAAAGTTATAACCCATGAGTTAAATACAATAAAATGTGGCATGTAAGCATATTCATGTTAATAGGTGTCTATAAATATCAGGTGTATGCATATGATGGCTACCTGGTTATTTATTTGTTGTCTGTCTCTTAGCTATCAGCATTTTCTTAATTCTTTTGGGAAATACGGAGTAGAAAATTAGCTTTTTTCTATAAGGATGAGATGCTTTGAATGTTATAGCTATGATTACTAGAAGAAAATTTAATTAAATCAAAAGCAAAATAAAAAGCACATACATGCATGAAAAATCCTGTATTCATGAATTTGCTTTTAATGATATCAATAACTAAATTTCACATGTATTTTATCCTCAAAACAGATCTGAGTTATTTATTGCTTGCATGAAAAACATTCAAACCATTTTGGGAATTTTTATGTACTGGCTTTTATAGCTGTATAGTGCTTTATATTAAGTTTCAAAATTGAAACAGCTGTGTTATTTCCCAATATCATGTGGCAATTAAAGAGGACAGTTTCGTGATTTGGGAAGAGGTGCAGCTGTTTTAAAAAGTTGTAGACCGCTCTTCTATTAATTTTGAAACATCTTTAAATTATTTTCAAGGAGTTACACAGCCCTCTTGGCTTGGACTTTATAATTAATTAGGCTCATAGTAATAGTTATAATTATTATTATTATTAATAATAAGCCTCACAGTCAGTATTCTTATTGGATCTGTTATAGAGGAATTAATTTGTTTCAAGGATTGTGTTTAATATTACAGAAATAGCCTTTCATGCACCAGATTGGTCTGGTGGTAGTCCATTCTAGTAGTTCCTGGTTCCAGAGTATGATTTTAGAAAACATTTTCTCATTATATAAAATGATGCAGATTTTTTTTTGTCTTGAAGTAGGGAAAAAACATGAAACCTAGACTATTATGGGATAATGAACTATACTAAATTTCATAGCAATCATTATAGACTGTTTGATTGTATATGTGATCCACTTATTTAAAATATAGTTTATTAAATTTTTAAAGTACTTTGCACATGATGAAATTCTCATGATAATTAGATATTTATGGGGAGATGAAATTTGTCATGTTTCAAAGAAATAAGTATGAAGAAGAGCAGAATTACATACTCCTTTGACCATTGAAACTGCTTGTTCAGACCATTTCCTCAGTATTTATATGCCATTCTTGATTTGCGTACCCAGAAGGTTTCAGTCAAGGTAGCCCTTAGCAGGGCCAAATATTGGCTGTTTAATTTTATAGCAGAGTAGATTTGAGTCTTGTGCATGACGAGTCAAACATACAAGCAGAATATAAATAAGTAGGCCAAAAGGGGAAAAGGTCATCCCACACTGGTATACTAAACTATACTGTAGGATCAAAATTGAATGGGACTACCTCTTATGGAGAGAAATGATATGAAGAAAACAGGCATGTAGAAAGATGTCTTTCACAGGGCTTTTTTTGTCATAGAACGCACGGAACAGCGTTCTGGCACCTTTTTTCAAAGGAATTTGTGGAACTAAAAAAAGTTCAGTCAGATCTTCCAACTTATTGCGGGGAAAAAAAAGATCTCACAAGGAGTTGGAAGGTCTGACTGAACTTTTTTTAGTCCCACAAACTCCATTTCCCTGTAGCAGAAGAGAAACACACCAGAGCTGGAAAGCAGGTTAGCAAAGAAATGCTTTCGGGAAGAGGGAGGAGCTGCGCCAGGAGGAGAAGCAGCAGGAAATGGGGCTGCCATTTCCAGAAGGGAAAAGGGAAACTTGGGGCAATGCAGGGCAGCAAGCAAGTGCTGTTCTCTTCTCTGCATCCCTGCGCAGAGCTGCTATGTTCTCCGTTCTCCGTGAGACAGGCAACAAAGGACTGGCGGCGGGGGAGGCATATGCCACCCAGTCACGGCGCAAGCCACAGGAGAGTTGGCGGAGGACAAGGAGGCGGCCCCTGCCCCCAGGCAGGTGATCTGCAAGGTGAAGCTTAAAACCCGTCCAGTGGTGCACAGCGGCAGCGGAGCCGTTCACTGTCACTCCCCCCTGGCTTCGAAACGGCGAAGGGGGACCAGGCCTACCCTACCCATCCTATCCACCTTAGCATGGAAGTCCGGTTCGGGAGGGGAGTGAAAGGTTGCCGATCAAGGAATGGCCTGGTGGGGGAGGGGCTGAGTTCTGGCACCTTTTTTCTTACAAAAAAAGCACTGGTCTTTCATATAGAAAAACTAGTTAAAATAATTTATTATTTCAACAGGGTATATTGTCAAAAATATATTGTTTAAAATAAAGTGAAAAATCTTTCTCTCCCCTTCCCCTCCTTTTACATTATCTTTTGTCCAAAAGGTTGCAATAGATATAATTAGTGGTGGATTAATCACAATTAATTAAGCTAAGTACATTATTTCCCCTTTTCCCCTTCCTATCAAGTACTTTCACAATCAGTTGTTCTACCCAAATCAAAATATTGGGGGCAGAGTTCTGGAAAATCCTTTCAAGTAGAACAAATTGTGTTTCTGGATCTTTCTGCCCCAGATTTTTCATAAATTGCCATAGGTTTGGAATTCACCCAAAACAGAACATGACCATAATTCTTATTCTAAACCAATACCACTGTTAAGTGATGGGAAAGAGCAAAATAAAATCAAATATCAGGATAAGGGTGAGAAATATTTTATAGGCATGCTTAGTAAAATTCAAGATATTCTAATGTAAGTTCTAGACTACAAAAATCTTTGATTTTTCAGTAATCAGTTATTTTCTCAAATTTCCAAGGTTGCTACTACTGTAGGAATAATATCGTTCATAATGTAAGATCTATACTAACATGTTCAGATGTTATTTATATAATGATATTGATTGTAATCTATACTGATAATTCGTTAAAACATGACTTTTTGGTTAGCCACTTGTTAAAGCATTTTGGGGAAAACCTTTCTTTGCTCCTATTTATTTATTTAGCTTAAAGATATAATAATAATAATAATAATAATAATAATAATAATAATAATAATAATAATAATAATAATAATAATAATAATAATAAAAAAGTTGGAAGGGACCTTGGAGGTCATCTAGTCCAACCCCCTGCTTAGGCAGGAAACCCTATACCATTTCAGACAAATGGCTGTCCAGTCTCTTCTTTAAAACTTCCAGTGTTGGAGCATTCACAGCTTCTGGGAGCAGGTTGTTCCACTGGTTAATTGTTCTAACGGTTAGGAAATTTCTCCTTAGTTCTAGGTTGCTTCTTTCTTTAGTTAGTTTCCATCCACTGTACTTCTATCCCTATTTGTGAATTCAAGTTATTGTTTAACCAGAGTTGTACATTGGTCAGTCATCAAGTGTGCAGATCACATTACTCTTATCTTTCCTATAACCAGAAGATTCAGCAATACTTTGCTTGCAAAAATTAGGACACAAAATAATACTTGTAATTTATAGCATCTTATTAGTTTAAAGACTTTTAAAATGTTACCTATTCAACATGTTAAATTTCAGTTCTTTATTTTTATAAACAAGTTCACACTGCAATTTCTCTGCTCTTGCTATATGGATTGTTGATGCTGCATTGCGCTGTTGATATTCACGTATCAAATCTGGAACCATATTGTGCTGTCAATCATAATCATATGCAAATATGCTTAGTTTTTTGTCATTTCAGCTGTTCTTTTTTGTGTATAATAGAACAGTAAAGAGTATTATCTATAATTGCAACTAATGCTCTTCTGAGAACATTTCTTTATGGAAACCTTTGGAAAATATATTTATAGCAGATCATTTCTTTCTTTGTGTATGCAACGCTCCCACCCCAAACATAGATTACTCATAGCTACTTATCTTAGGATCAGCAGGAGCAGTTTCTCAGACAGGCTTTTCTCAATATTACCTGAATATGCTAAAGATAGGAATTTTTCTTTTAGGTATATAAAGTGTGTTCTATATTATTGAGGAAAATCCCCTCCCTATATAAATATGTATAGAAGCCAACTACATAGATTCACAGTCATTTATTACTTGAACTCTAGTAGTTCAACAAAACTTTCAGACACTGAATGCAGTACTCTAGCTTAGGATGCAGATCAAGCTTATGAAACACATAGGTATTGCTTACCTCAGCCTACTGCTTATCATTTGCCTTCTTTGAGACAACTATTTCACATAGGTTTCATAAACAATGGTATCTTACACCCATTCAGTTCTTGTCAAGTAAACCATGAAGTAATATACAGGCATTTTCTTCTGTCTCAGCAATATAATTGACTGGTGTCTGCCAACTTATTCTTGGTTGATTCTTACTTTGATTAAGGGAGTGGTTTTAGATTAGAAAAATTTGTTGGCCTCTCTGTGGAATAATTTATGCTGAAACGAAGAGCAATACATTTGGTATTTTAAAAAAATTCAGCATGATATTCTGGATATATTTTTTTTAAGATTTTTGTGAGGGGCATTGCTTACTGATACGTATGCACATATTTAAAAGGATGGGTTATGGAGGGTGGTGCAGGAGTAGCAGCTTTGGCTTGGATTCCCTGTATTGCTTGATATCTCCATAAATCAAATGTAAGAATTTATCCAGAGATCTGACATAAGATATTATATGATGTTATCAGCCAACTTAATTTCTCCTATTTGGGCATAATGATGTCTGGATGAGAAGTAATAAAAGGTTCTGGCAACAGTGCCTTATATTCTCGTCATCTCTCAAATTTTTGCAATACGTTACAAATAGGACTGACTTGTTATGGTATCTGATTATTATTTTTTGTCCATCAACAGAAGAGAAGGAAATATGCTGCAAACATATCCTTATGAAAAAGCAGGCTCTAGGACTACTGTAATGTTTGGTATCTTCAGGGATAAGNGGGATAAGAGTCAACAAAATTGCTTGAATTATTTGTTCTAAGTTTTCTCAGTGGAAGAGGCAGTTTGCTTACAATATTTCTAAATGTAAAAATAATACTGTTAGAAGTTTTATACCCCCAAAGACAATTTGTTGAATTTAAATATTAAATGTTTGAATTAAATTCCATTTCTTTCTTGGGCTCAATGGATATGTCAATGGCAGACTAAAGTTTCATTTATTATATCAGAATCCTATTAGTGCTAATTGTAAATTAGTTGTAAATATGAAAAAGTATCTGCTTAGTTTCATAATTATAGCATTATAGATAAATATTTGTATTTGTTTGTGCTTCAGCTTGTAAAGATTCCCAAAACTGATGTCCCAAATGAAGTCCATACCTTTGATTTCTATCTGTCAAATGTTGGCAAAGATAATCCTCAGGGAAGCTTTGACTGTGTCCAGCAAACTGTTTCAAGGTAAAGGATTTACTAATGGGAATAAAAGTGAAATTGTTTTGTTTAATTGTTGCTGGTGTCTGTAGCCTTGTTGCAATGAACAGTTGAAAAAGAATTCAACACAGCAAATACGAAGTGTAAACCCTAGTTCTAAAATTGTTGTAGTCTTTTGAAAAATACAGTTAAAGAAATCATCTTATTTAGATCCCATTATTCTGTCTGTAGAAAATGCCAGTTCTACCTCTGGTCCTCCTTTGTTGTGTATATATGACAAATTATATTGTCTACTTTGGAATTTCTTCCATTTGTAACAGTACACACATTGCTGACATTCACAATGAGAAAGAACTATTTTATTTCTCAGCCTTGTAGAAATGGATGAAATAATTATATGATCAAACGTATGTGTGTGTGTGTATGTTACATACATTAAATGTATACTTAAAAACATCTGGAAATTGAGAGAAAATGCTATGGTTCTTAATTTTGATGGTAACAGACTACCTTTTTTTGGAATCCAGGAATTTTTACTAAGATGAACAATCAGAACATTGATAATAAAAAAAGAGATAGAAAGGAAGGAACAAATATATAAGCAAATACAACAAAATTAAAAGCTAACACAGTAAGTTAGTTGGTTTACATAGCTTCAGAAAAAAAATGTAAAAGTTGTAAAATTCATATGTAGTATTTGTTTCTGAAAGATACTTTTATAGATGAAGGCATTATTTCTGTTAGATGAAACCCTTTGTTATGTACCTAAAATGTATTTAAAAAGGAAGATTCATTGCATTTTGCTCATCTAATACTATTCCTATCCCTTTCAATACCTTTAATTCAAAGAAAGATGTACTAGACTACCTAACTTGATGCAGGAAGCAAAGTAAAAATATAGTTATTATATTAACACTAGAGTCCAAGATCTAATATTCAAAACTGAGATTTAACTTGAATAGGAGATTTAAAGGGAACATGATTAAATCTAAACCACCTTGTGACTGGAATCAGAAAAGATTAGAATGTAGGGGTAGGATGGGATGAAAGTAAAGAATGGTAGATCTTTATATCCTGCCAGATCACTTCAGGGATTTCACAGTAATACATTCTTGAAATATTTCTTCTGCAGCTCTTCTAACAGAAAAATAACAGGTTGAGGAAAATATGTCCTGATAATTTCCATATAGTCCAAAACAACAGACAAATGCTGAAACAAATAAAAAAATGACCTATTCTTTTCCCCCAAAATACTGCTTAAACATAAACTCTTACTAAAGGTTAAAGTGCCTGCCCTCTTCTGACTGACTTTACTATTCTACGTTGGGACCTTCTAGCCAGAGCTAATCAGTAGAAATAATATATTATGAGCTAATTATGAAATTAATTCTGAAAAAAATGATGTATGTGTTATCACTATTGTACAGGTTACAATAGTTGAGTTACAATCACAGTTGGGACCAGAATTTCAGTTGTAAGTTGTGACAGTCATAAGCTGAGGCACCCAGGTGACCAGACCCAATTTTACAACTGTTTTTATAGTAGTCATTAAGAGAATCACACTGTCATAACTCTGAATCGTGTGGTCATTAAGTGAATCATGCAGTCTTACTAGTGCTAAAGCATTTTCCCAAATGGGCTTTTTTTAAACCACAAATTGCTGCAACCAATCATAAATGTGAGCCTATTAACAAGTGCCTGAATCATATGACTGGGGGAGGCATTTGACAACAGCCAGAAGTACTTTAAGGGCCATAAAGCACCATTTCTGAGACCATTGTAACTCTGAATAGTCATCAAATCAAGGAATACTAGTAGTTATAATTCAGTATGTGTATGAAGAAATAGTCTATGAAGGAATGACAGTTAAAAACAAAAGAGCCAAAGAACTCCAAAGTAGTCACAAGCCCTAGGGTGGGTCAAATAAAGAGATTTGAGAGTTAATAAAGGATAAGCATAAAAGGTTTATCCTTTAGATCAGTGGTCCCCAACCTCTGGTCCGTGGACCAATACCGGGCCGCAGCATGCCAGCAACCAGGGCAGCACAAACAAGCAAAGCCCCATCCATGGGATGCAGGCAGCACACAAAACCACTCCCCCTCTGGTCCACGGAAAAACCTCTCTCCAAGAAACTGGTCCCTGATGCCCAAAAGGTTGGGGACTTCTGCTTTTAGATTTAAATAGATTCGAGCAAGGTAGAGAATTGCACAAGAAAGGACATATCTAATCCAGAAAAAAGCAGAAGAATCAAGTTGTGTCACTTTTTTTCTCTCTCCCCCATCTGCCTAAATGAATTCTAGTAGAAGATAAGGTGGTCTACTGTGAATCAAATTCAACTCTTATGCATACACCCATGTAGATTTATTGGGAACAGTATAGAAATTGTTTACCGTTATCAGGGTTTTTGTTTTATCTACCCTGGTATTTCTTGGTGATATTGCATCCGAGGATCAAACAAGTTTCACCTTCCTTAATTTTTACATGATCAGCAAGTTACTGTCATTTTTATGGTATTCTAGCAGAATCTGAGACACAAGCAGCAGAGCAGTTCTCCTGCTCTAGGTTCCTTGATAGGAGAGGTTTTGGAAAAAAATAAAACAGCCCACAAGAGAGCCTCTTGTATCATTGAAGCCTCCTCTTCTGCATTTATTACGCAAAGCTGCAATAATGTTTGAGGCTGCAAAAGTCGTAAGCATAAGAAAATCTATCAAAACTTCAAATCACTTTCCAGTCTTTCTAAAATAATTCCTAGGCTTTTTATTTCCTTTAATGCAGGCATTTCAAACTGCTGGCCCGTGGGCCGGATGTGTCATGCCAAAACCATGCCCACCCCATTGCCAGCAATGGGGAAAAAGTCCTAATACATTGCGTGATGTCACGTGATGTCGAGAGATTGACATGCCTGCTTTAATGCCTCACTATAATATGAAGATTTTATTATAATCAAAAATCTAATTGACTTAATCTCCTTTGAACTAAATCACTCTTTAAGCTTCACATTGCCATCTTTCAACAGTTATTTTGTACAGAAAATTACTTGACTTGAAGCAATATAAATACTGCTATTAGAGTATGGAGGATGTAAGTCATAAGCATCCTTTAAAGAAATTAGTATTTTTAAGATTGAAATGTATAATTAGAAATATGAAATCAGTTCTTTAACCAAAGCCAAAATAATTTCACCAGCGCTCTGGAAAAGATCAGGCAAAAATAAATATCTGTGACAAGCATTTGTGAAAAAGGCTTATTTATTTATTTAAACATTATTAATGTACATCTTCTTTCCAAATGCTTGAGATGAAATACAGTTGCAAGTAGATTAAAAAATTAAAAAATAAGCCTTGAAGATAACAGTGAGAAGATAATAGCATAGATATACAGTACTTATGTATTCGCCAATACTTCAGTTAGTTTATTTTTAAGGACAAACAAAATAAAATACGTTCCAAAACAAAGTCTTGATTTTTCATCATAAAATATTGTGATGATTACTTAGTATTATGTCACTGAATAACATGGTAGTTATTCATAATCAGTGTATGGTTCCTCCAGATTCAGAAAGGAATACCAGTTCCTTGATAGTCAACAACAGGAATAACTTTTTAAAAAGCCTTATCCAAGTGAAATTGGTTTCAGTAATATGGATTTGCTTTCACAAATCATTTTATATTTCATGTCATTTAATATCGGTAGCAAATTACTTCATTTGATTTAATTGCTAATTACTTTCCAGTTAAAGCCATATAGACATTTTTAAAGATTGCTGAAATTTACAGATGTTCCTATATTATTGGCAAAAAGCAGAATAGTACCTTACAGTTGATAACTACCATTAAATGTATAGAAAGACATTGAATGTTATTGGGCAAAGTAAGGTTCTACATTTAGGCAAGAAAAACCAAATGTACACGTATAGTATAGGTGGTACCTTGCTCAATAGTAGTAATTATGAGAGGGATCTTGGAGTTCTAGTGGACAATCACTTAGATATGAGCCAGCAGTGTGCTGCAGCTGCCAAAAAAGCCAACACAGTGCTAGGCTGCATTAACAGAGGGATAGAATCAAGATCACGTGAAGTATTAATACCACTTTACAATGCTTGGTAAGGTCACACTTGGAATACTGCATCCAATTTTGGTCACCACGATGTAAAAAAGATGTTGAGACTCTAGAAAGAGTACAGAGAAGAGCAACAAAGATGATTAGGGGACTGGAGGCCAAAACATATAAGGAAAGATTGATGGAATTGGATAAGTCTAGTTTAATGAAGAGAAGGACGAGGGGTGACATGATAGCAGTGTTCCAATATATCAGGGGCTGCCACAAAGAAGAGGGAGTCAAGCTATTCTCCAAAGCGCCTGAAGGCAGGACAAGAAGCAACAGATGGAAACTAATCAAGGAGAGAAGCAACCTAGAACTAAGGAGAAACTTCCTGATAGTTAGAACAATTAACCAGTGGAACAGTGGTGAATGCTCCAGTGGAACCAGTGGTGAATGCTCCAATACTGGAAGTTTTTAAGAAGAGACTGGACAGCCATTTGTCTGAAATGGTATAGGGTTTCCTGCCTGAACAGGGGATGGACTAGATGACCTCCAAGGTCCCTTCCAACTTTATTATTATTGTTGTTAATTCATTTTGCATATTTGTTGCACATAAAATTGTTTTCTTCCTTTATTACTTAGTACTGGATCATCACAGCTCAGTTGCCTAGGATTTATACAGGATAAAATTACTGTATGTGCAACAAATGATTCTTACCAAATGACCAGAGAACGTATGACCCAGGCAGAAGAAGAGTCTCGTAATCGAAGTACAAAAGTCATAAAACCAGGTGGACCATATGTAGGTATGACTGCATTTTTCTCATTTCTATGATTGCTTAAATTCTAATTATTGTACCATTTAATACCCAAAATATTGTAATTTCTATAAAGTTGATTTTTTGTCATTTTCTCTTTGCTCTTTTCAGTAATAGTTCCAGTAGTTTAACATGTTTCTTTTGTAAATCCAATATAAGAAAGCTTTCCAGATCATTCTTCGGTTGTACTATTTGTATGTCTCCTTTAATTATTTATTAAAATATTTTATTATTTTAATGATTATTAATAATTAATACTATTATTTAATATTAAATAAGTAATTATTAATAATTATTTACTTATCCAGTCATCAACTGGCTTCATTTGTAAATCCATTGTGCCATCTTTTTCATAAATCCATAACATCTTTTTCAAAGTTACTTTTTAATCTGCCTTTTTTTTTGAAGTCCAAATCCCCATTCAGATCAGCCTTATTCTCTGTTTTATCCAAAAAAATCTGTTGTTCTTCTACATTATAGTATCAATTTTGTAAGTACTTTTTGAGTATACTATTCCTAAACAGTCTTTAATTTCTTCTATAGTCAAATAGTATTACTTGAATTGTAATTCCAACAAAGACTGACAATTCAAAGCCACTTTCAAATCGCTGTTTGAAGCCACGGTCATCTGGTATTTTCTCTGAAAAACTTGAGTTTGTGATGGTTCACCTCTCTCCTATCACATAACTTTGTCTTACTGTTCTTCTGTAATAGGATAAAGATGAGGTGACAAGTTTTCAGCTCCCACAGTATGAACTATGCCAGTAATGGCGAACCTTTTAGAGACCAAGTGCCCAAAACCCTGTCCCGCCCCCCCGCTCCACCCCGTCCTGCCCGCTCCACCCGGCCCACCCGCAGGGCCATTCACTGCCTCCATGGCCCGCCGCATATCGTCCAGGCAGCCCAGCAGCGCCATGGCGGCCATGCCCTCTGCCCGCACCATCAACTGCGTGTGATGGGGCACAAAGGCGGAGTCTTGTCCCCACTGCCCAGCTACCATGTCATTGGCTACGCTGCTCCATGCAGGCCGCCCTCGGGGGCAACTCTCTGGGGGGGGCTGCTGGTGAGGGGGCCACGGGGGAGGCAGGGCTGGGGCGACAGCACACGTGCCCACAGAGAAGGCTCTGAGTGCCACCTGTGGCACGCGTGCCATAGGTTTGCCACTACTGAACTATGCACACGCTCTATTGCTTACTCTCTTCCCTTTCTTTTTGGCATATAAGCTGAAAAACTCACTAAAGAGAAAGTAAGAATATGGATTAGGGAAGGGGACACACTTTTTTTCCTGTCTCCCTGGTAATGGCAAATTCCCTGGTGAAAAGGGAATTAAAATGTGGTTTTTTTCACTTATTATATTTCAAGAATTGCATTAAGACTTTCAGGGTAGGGTAGTGATTAAATGGCATTCTTTGTTCTGATTCTCAGTGTTTTGAGAATAGAAGACAATTGTGGATTGTCTTAAAGAATTTCTAAGAGATTAGGGAGCAGAAAATTGTGTCTCATTTTTCTTCAGCTCATGCATTTAGCTCATGCATTCTTAAATTACTATTTTTGAAGCGCTATTGAACTATTAGGAGCCCATAGGTTTTGGCCAATAAAAATAGCTTTTGATTGTTTCACTCAATTACATGTTGCTGTCACTGAAGAATATAATTTCACAATTCTGTTTGGTCGCTGGTTAGACATTATAGTGCTTGAAATTATCAGAGATGATTATTTCTGACTTGAGCAATGAGAGTCATGAAGTGAATTTATGATTTATATAAATTAAACATGTAAACTTCATAATTTCTAAATATATTTAAAACTCTATATTCCTGCATTTTGTTGAGAAATAAACTTCAGGTTTGTCTGAGGTATAAAGATATAAAAACAGTTTTGTTTTTATTGCTTGTAGGTAAAAGAGTACAAATTCGAAAAGCACCACAAAGTATTCCAGATGCAGTTCCTGAAAGGAAAAGGTCTACCCCCATCAACCCTGCAAGTACAATACGAAAAACCCATACAAACAACAGTATTTCACAGCGGCCTTATAAGGATAGAATAATTCACTTATTGGCACTGAAGACTTACAAGAAACCAGAACTTCTTGCCCGCTTATTAAAAGATGGTGTTAGTCAAAAAGATAGGAATTCCCTTGCTGCTATTCTTCAGCAGGTGAAATTTTATTTACACTTCTGCTTTCTCCTTTGTTTTATAAATTATGATGGATTGGTTCAAAAATGGTATTTTGCTGAGATCAAAATGAGTTTGTGGTTTAATTTGGGCATGTTGAAATTCATCCATATAGCATTGAATATTTGACATGGCAGGCATATTATGTCTACATCCTGAATTATCTTATGGGCATATTGAAATTCAATTCATATAGCACTGAAGATTTGACATTGCAGGCATATTATATCTATATTTTGAACTATCTTGATTCTTTTTTGCTATTTATCCCCTTTTCTTCCTTTTTTACTCTGCTATTATTTGTATACCCTGAATTAAAGGATAGTGAATGCATTACAATAAGATAAATGGAATACACAAAATTTCATTTTCCAATCTTTAACTGTCAAGCCTTTCATAATGATGTTTCATTTAATTTCCATCTAAAAGTTGTGGGTTTCTTTTTAAAAACCAAATTCACCAGGTTGTGATCAGAAAAAGTCTTTGGTAAAATCCTCACTTAGAGCCTGAATAACAGGTTTTTTGGAAATCCATATCATATCTATTCTTGAGAATAATTGATATCTTCCTGAAAAATAACTATAATCTCTAGAATTATCCTTTTTATGTCTCCATATTTCTATTAATATTACCGTGTTTCTCTGAAAGTAAGGCCTACTCTGAAAATAAGCCCTAGCTTGATTTTTGAGGTGGGCCTAATATAAGCCCTACCCCCAAAATAAGCTCTAGGCACACACCTAAAAATCAAGGTAGGGTGGGGGTGGAGCTGCCCCACACGCCCCTCACCCACTTACCTGGCAGTCAGGCCTGCATTTCACGGGCCTTTCCAGAAGGCCACTGCAGCTGAGAACCGACCTATGGATTGAATCCATAGCTCGGCACTCAGCTGCATAGGCCTTCCGGAAGGTTCTGACTGCAAAATGCAGGGCAGAATGCAGCTGCAGAATGAAGTTGTTCCTTCGGTCAGAAGAAGTGGACCGGCCGGGTGGGGCTGTCGGTACCGGAGGTGAGTATAAAAGACCACCCGAAAATAAGACCTGGTGCCTCTTTTGGAGGCAAAAAAAAGACCCAGTTTTATTTTCAGGGAAACATCCATCAGGTAAAATATCCATCAAATAAAAAAAAGTATTTAGTAATTTTCCTGGGGTGTTTTTAATTTTTAATTTTGTTCCCTGATGTGGGAACAAAAGTATGAGAACAAAAAACTCTTCCTAACTGGAGAAAACAGCACTGTTCCAGTCACCCATCAGGCAACAATTCTATATGAAAGGTTTATCAATTGTTCCATAAGTTGTTTATAAAGTCCCAAAACAAAGTTTTCACATTCTTGTAATTGAATTTCCACCCTGACAAATCTACTGTCTTGATCAGTTATTATTAAATAACTGATATCAGTTATTATTAATTATGATTTTAATTGGGGTAGAACAACTCTGTTGGGGTTTTTTGGTGTTACCGAAACTAATTTATCTCCCATATTGTTATAGATCAAGTATTTCGCGTCTTTATTTCTAATATGTGTTCCTTGTAAGCAAATTATATCTTATTTTAATTTCTTCATGTAGTGGAATACATTTTTTCCTTTTGTCAGGGGAATTTGCCCCATTTATATTCTAAGTTAAATTCAAATTTAAAAAAAATGGGTATGTATATTCTATGGTTAGATAAATCTCTGCTTGCACCACCAGGTTCTAAATTGTCTTTTTCATTATCTTGTACATCCTGTGCTTTTTTGTCAAATTTCATATCGATATTCTCTGTGTTTTCCTTTTGAGTCTCTTCCTAATCTACTTTAAATTCCTCAAAAAAAATCTCTAGTCCTTTGAACAGTATTAATGAAAATCTTTCTTGTTGAAAAGTAAAAGTTATCCCTTCTAATTTTTCCCAATGAAATGGGATAGTTTTCCATTTCAGTGCTTCAATTTAAAAAAAATACTCTTTTCTTTTATGTAAAATTCGGATGGGAATTTTATTTCATTTTTTCAGACATTTGTTTTACAAAATTATCCATCTTGCCCATTTTTTCAAACTTTCTTTCAAATGATGAAAACTTGGTATCCAGTTTAAAGTCATGTGAATGAGGCAATGTAGCTTCTAGTTCCGCAAAAATTTAATTAAAATAGATTTAACTGGCATTTCCCTTCCTCCTTTAGCGGCTACTCAATGGAGGATTTTCTGATATATCATACTTTACATGCTGCCATTCTAAAACGATCAGCAAATAAAAAGAAAATAAAGCCAGGAAAAAAGTAAAGTAATGTTATAATTATCAGCAGTTGCCAGCAGATGTCAGCCAAAGTGTCTAAAACTAAATCAGTCCACAATGCACAGACTGAACTAATTATAATATTCCTAATCAAGACCAATCCAATCAGAGTAGGACAAGAGGTACTATGGGAAGACAAAGTCCACATAAAAAAAAATATTTATTTATTTATTTACTTACTTATTTATATTTCCTATTTCTATATCATCTATCTCCCTCAGATTATGAATTATAAGTTTAAAACTACAGATTCACCAAAAACATAAAGTTTTATTTTTATAATTAAAGGAAAGCCTGATGTTTTTTCCATTATTAATTTTCTGATATCATTTTGGTTGCCCTGCTTTTTTGAGAAATTTTAACAAAGGTTAATTTAATACATCTCTAAGATGCAATAGTCCCAAAAAAGAAAACACACACAAAAATAAATACTTATCCACTGAAGAGAAGACTCTCTTTAACTGTCCAAGATTACAAAGCCAAAAATAATCTAGAAATGTGTGCACCTCAAACTTGAACAACATGGTATTCCTCATCCCCCAAACATTCCACTTGCGAACTGTTTACTCGCAGTGTTTCTCAACCTTGACAATTTTAAGGCAATGCTGGCTGTGGAATTCTGGGAGTTGAAGTCCACATGCCTTAAAATTGTCAAGGTTGAGAAACACTGGTTACTGGAACCTCTGTTTTTGCAATTCACTCACAAGGAGCAGCTGTTCAATGATCAAATGGATTAGATTCCAGCTCCCTCCTTGGTCCAGAGTGAGTAAAGAATCCCATGACAGTTTGCAGGAAGCACTGAAAGCTAAAGGACTGCTTCCACGCTATGACAAGCTAAAGTTGTTTAAGCCACTATGCCAGAAATCCAGGCTCACTTAATTCATAAGGCAGAGTCACTGTTGAGTTGCCTTCTTGTTTAAAATCTAAATCCAGCATTCATAGGAAAGATTTTAATAATCCTTTCAGGTTAGGTAATTTTCCAGAATAGAATGGCTTCTTTCTATTATTCTGTTAGTACTGGTTTTCTATTGAAAAACATATTAAAACTATAGTAGTGGATTTTATGTTTCTTCTTCTTCTTTTTTTAGAAATCTATGTTTCTGATGAACATGGTTTTAATAATTTACCAATTAAATATTTAATTATGGACCATAATAACCATAAAATTAATTTATTAAACTTCAAGATATTAAGTGTAATGTTTTCAGATACTTCATCTTGCAGTTAATTTTAAGTGTTTGTATCTTTAATCTGTAGGTAGCCAATCTGAATCCAAAGGACAACTCTTACACTTTGAAAGAATATGTTTATAAGGAAGTTCAAAAAGATTGGCCTGGATATAATGAAATAGATAGACAGTCACTGGAATTAATACTTTCTCGGTAAGTTCAAGCCCTTTCACATCCTGTGTAGACATCCAGAAAAATTAATTTACAATCTTGATTTAGTTTAGGGCATTTTGATTTTCTTCGTAATACTGAATGTGGATAATCTTTACAGAAAACTACATTCATCTCAGAATGCCACCAGCACCAGTAACTTGGGATCTCCTTTGAGTACTGTCAAAGAGGTTGCATCTGCTTCCCCTTCTCAGGTATTTTCCTTGTCACTTTAATTCTATATCATGTAATAAGATAATACGTGACAAAAGTTGACGGGTGGAGGAAGAAAACATCAGTTGGAGAAGATATATGCATAAGTAATGGAGACTTTATCTACACTTAGGATCTTTTGTGTATAGTCCTGTTGAATAGGTTGGATTGAAAGACCTGCTGCTAGCTAATATAGGCAGCAGTACAGAAGAAGCAGAAATAGTTTGGCTGCACAGAAAAATATGTTATATTTTCAAAGTATTAACATTTACATCTGTAAATCAATTTCACTGGATACCGACTGTAGCATTTCTCTTTTTGATATAATGATGAAAATTATTGGTTTTGTAGCAGTACATGCTGAAGGAAACCTATTAAAATTCATCGAAATCAGTGCAATAGAAATAATACTAAGTTCCTTTAAATGTTAATTTTAAAAAGTAAAATGAAATTTCCAATGGCTATTTCGTATCTTAGAAGAACTGAATAAAATTTGCAAATATATTACTCCTGCTGAGGCTATAGCAATATTTCATAAGATTTTAAGTGTCACAACAAACATCATTTGCAAGATTTGGTAATCCCATAAGAATTTAACACATAGATAAGCATCCTCACCACAACATCTCTGAAGTATTCTTGCAGATGAATTTGGGCTATTAGTTTATATCTTGAGCTTGAGGATACAAATCCTTCCAAGATGGCATTAATATAATACATTTAAAAAAAGAAAAAAGTAGTTGAGATCCTTTCCAAAGGCTGATGGTTATGAGAATATAATAGGGAGAAATGAACCTACCCAAGAAACATATCATATTTCAGAAGGATTATGGTAGTTTATTCCTTGTTCCTTCTCTGTGTTGTATACTTTTGTTTTTGACTGTTTCTGTGAAAATGAAATGCCTCATAAAAGTATCCCTAAGCAAGATACATGACAAATTTCTGAAGGACAGATTCAGAGACTTTGGAATTTGGATAATAAAACTTCTTGATGCTCCTTTTATGCTGTGACCATAAACCCACAGAAAATTCTTAAAACAGAGCTTTGGTAATGGATATGAAACTAGCCATTGAAAGAAAAAGGGACTTAAACATCCATTTATTTACAAACAAGAACTCACTCCTCAGGTCCTACATCAAACCTCTTCTAAAA